TTTAACCTTTGTTATATAACGTCATGGCGAAACTATCAAGTTAGAAACTCAATTTCATGGATAAAGCAGGTCGCTGAGCAGTCAGCGACTGAGAGGTAGGAAAAGTGAAAAAAATATTGGGGATCACGTTAGTTTTTCAAAAAAATGCTACAACTTTAGATTTTTTATTACAAAATAAATATTTTTGAGAAAATACACTTAGATTTTATCAGCATGTCACGTTACATTAAATAGGAAAGTTAGATTATGCATGTATATTAGATCTAATAGAAAGATAGTTTTCCTATTTTTCCTACTACCACCAAGGAAGTAATATGTGATACTTAACATCCAGAACAGTCCATAGATATTTGGGAGTACTCATCCAGAGTCCATAGATACCAACTATTAAAAAAACAAATCTCACATACACGCTTCAATTTTCCTCGCAATGAACTAGAACATCATGGGATTGAGGAAAATTTTCCCTCCGCTTTTGTGTTCAACTTTGAAAAGGGTTTTCAAAGTTAGAGGTTGACCACTATACTGTAAAAACATACTACTGGTTCTTTGGCCCGTTTCACCACTGGAGACAAAACAACGAGACGTGTGTACGCCTTTGCGCTGCGTTCGTCTGCATCGCACTGCAGGCAGCACAGCGCCCACACAAATGCGTGCTGCGGCGGCAGGCTTCGCCAGTGTTCACCTGCCACGTCTCCCATTACAAGGACAGAAATGGCAGTATCATGAGGCAGTTGACCCTACCCAATTTGGGGGCTAATGGCGCTTCAAAAAGACAAGACAGTAACCGGGAAGAGGACCTCATTATCTAAAAAAATCTGGGAAGAGGACCTAATCGGGGTAGATTAAATAAATCTGGGGGAATATTTCTTTGTGATAACATCATATTATGTGTGGATAACTCTAGGTCCAATTCAATAAGATCTGATGGGCCCCCCCGGCTCAAACTATTGATATTTGATCCAATAAAAGGAGAGGGTGCGACGCCCAGCTCCTTAGGTTGCAGCGGTGCTTTTAGTTCGGTTGTTTACTATTTATGTAATATCAAAGTTTTAATAGTCTGCTAGTTAGGTCCAGTAATAGTTATAAGACCACCTAGCGCGCTCATTAGAAGCGTGTCGTTTGTACGGTTAAGCTTTTCTTCTTAATTACAATGATACACAAATCTTTTGCGTATTCGAGAGAAAAAAGAAGAGGGTTGCACAATGATCCAATGGTTTGAGTGGAAATTATTATTAGCAAAAATATCGTGAGGACATGTGGTTATGAATTTATATTACATGTATATGTTATGATTTTGCGTGATGCCGGACGATTGTTAGGTTCTTTTCAAGGCTTTGAAGAAAACAACGTTGAATCGGAAAAAAAATGCATTTAGGAGAAGCAAAACAGAGCTCACAAATGCGCGAGAAAGTAAATCCATGTTCTCCATGCCCTGCCACCATCAGCCTGTTCGCTGGTTGGTTTCTGGGCTGACAAATTCGGCTGGTACTGGTTTATTGTAAGAAAAAAATAATGTACCATAGCTGATGAGCCATGGCTGAAACCTTGCTGCACGGATCTCACAGACTGTGCTTGCCGTAGCCAATCATTGGAGCTGACACTAAAAATACACTCCGTGATTATTTGTACAATTTTTTTTTTGTCTGGGCATTTGTTTTGCATGTTTGACAAATGAGTGGTTGGACGACTTGAAGCAGCAGCTGTGATTTTCGCAGCATTTTTTTGGAGTATTTGTTTCGCACGGCGACAAACTTGTGATCGAGAAGAAAGGGATCGGCCTACGATCATTTCTTGTATAATCGTATCAGGATTTAGTAGAGTAGCAGCAGGTAGTACGTGCCAGCTGAGTCTGACTGACTGACTCTGGCTCAAGTTTTTTCTGTGCTTATAAACATTGGCCTTTTCTGTACGTATCAGGATTGACACTTGACAACAAAAAAAGTCCATCTGATGCGTCACAATATCTGACTTATTTTAGTGTGTTTCTACTACACTATTTTAGCACACAGCCGTCAAGAATTAGATGCAGGTCAGCCGTGTGGTGTGGCTCTCATGTATACATGCACGTGATGAACAAGATAGCCATGGGTGCACGAGGGAAGCTTCTGCTAAGGTCAATGGCAGGCAGTAAAAAATTTCAGCACCTGTCCTGATACAGCCGTCAGGCAGGCAGGGGCTTGTGGGCGGCGATGGAATGGCACATTGGAAGGGGGAGAGAACGGCAGGTGTAAAGAAAAAGAACTGCCCGTCTCTCCTTTGGCACTTGCTCCAAATTGACAAGCCAACTAACTCCATGCCATCATCCCACATGAACCCCCTTCATCATTGTAGAAACGTTTAACATCTCTCTCTTTCTCTCTAAGATGAGAAGCTTTTTTCTTCCCCTTCTCTAGGATTTCAGAGGGCGATCCAGGTGTGTGCCTTTATTTCTCCTCCATTGACATTGCACAGAGGGTGAAAGGGAGGGATACCTAACCTGCGTGCCCTCCTGACTTGCAATTCGAAAACGTTTTTCCTCTGGAAACAGATGTATGCATTTTTTATTTCTCAACCCAGTGATGGCCTGATGGAGGCTAGAAATACCAGACATCATATCATGATGGCTTGCCGTTGCAACTGCACATGCTGCAACAGTGCAGTGACTGGACCGCAGCCAGCACGCCTCCTTGTGCACATAGCCGTGAAGAAAGCAACCAGGAAAATCCTTCCATGGCCCTTTTGTAAAACCTGTTGCTGTTTCTGACTTTGTGTGGCCTTGACATCGTGTCCTGTGGTACTAGAAGCCTAGAAGGTAAAAGAAGATGCAGTTGTTGTCACGGGGAGTCAGTGAAACAAACCCAGCACGCGCGCGCTTGCCTCCCTTTCGCCTTCAGCGAAATGCGGAGAAAACAACAGAAAGGAGAAAGCACCAGCGCAGAGCGGAGGAGAGGCCAATTTTACGCCGCGGAGAAGAGACCATGGCCATGGAATGGAAGCTTCATGTGGAGCTGTCGGGTGACAAAAAAAAAAGCAATCCGGCGCCTGTGCAAGGCGTTCAATCGCAGGTCGCCGGATCGTCAAAAAGGTGACGATGAATTCAACTTTGATGCTTTGTCATGTCATGTACTCAATGTATGGACATTGGAGATCTTGGGCAACCACTGTTCATCAGATATTTCGTGTTTGTTCTAATCCGGTTTGGACTGAACTTCCTTTGTCATCCACCAAGTACACGGAGGAGTTCACATCCAAGCAGCACTTTGTCATACGGTTGAAGCGCCCATCAGAAGGTTGCAGCCATGGAAAACCTGGCACGTAGCTGCTGTAATCACCACGGCAACTCGCCCAGTGGCTGAGTGGCTCCATCACGGCATGAATGACCATCGACTGAACAAACAGAGCTAGATAAGGCCCCGTTGGCTTCGCTGAAAAAAAAAGTCGAATTAATGTTCTGATTAATTTGTCGTGAGAGAGAAAATACTGTTCCGACATAAAAAACAAGCTGAAAAAGACGGATTATAAGATGGAAACGGCTCCAATACTCCTCCTTCTAAAAAAATAACACGCATCTCAAAGCAGCCAATCTAATTAATTATTTTTTCCTAGTTATTTTTTCTAGGACCCGCATGGGCCTGGCCCGTTCGGGCTCAACCCGTATCCATCACTTGACCACCCTAATCCAAAGCCGAACGCATCTTCCAGCTTCGGCATTTCGTTTTGTTTCCTCGTCGACGGAGACGGGTGCGCCGTCGCGGCATCGCGGAACGTCGTCTTCAATGGATAGGGTTTTTATTAGGTCAAGAATATGTTCCCAAACTTGCCTTGTTCAGCCCTTTTCATCGGCGTCGTCGAGAACTCGATTCCTAATAATGTACTATATAATCAAGTCCCCTCATTGTGTTCATGTTTCGTCCATGGATGAAACGAACAATTGTCCACATCCCACAAAAGGAAAGGAACCATATTTCGAAACATACATAACTAAGCTAGTCGTGTTTTCTGATGCAAATTCATCCTCTGGAAATACATGAAAGACATGTTGTTATCGAGTCATTTGATGCAAAATTCTTTGAAAATACTTGAAAGGCCTTTTTCGAAACATCCAGAATTGTTTTCTAATGCAAAAATCCTCTGGAAATATATGAAAGACTTATCGCGTCGTTTGATGCAAAATTCTCTGTAAATACATGAAAGGCCTTTTTCGAAACTCCGAGAATTGAACTAGTCGTGTTTTCTGATGCAAAATCCTCTAGAAACACATGAAAGACCTATCATTATCGTGTCGTTTGATGCAAAACTCTCTGGAAATACATGAAAGACCTGCTCTTCAAATTCTAAGCCTAGCGTAGGCGACAAACATGCCATTGGAGGGGCTAGAAATACATAGTACATATAAACATAGAGCCTGTTTGGATGGGTGGCCAACCCTTAGCTTGATCTACTGGAGTCAACTTGGCTTATTTGGTTCCTGTTTTTTGCTTTAGCCAGGCCCAAGCTGGCCCCCGTCCGCGCGCTGGCCTGGCTTGGAAAGATCCGTTTTTCCGTGGCCAGGCTTGGGCCAGCTCGCTGACGATTCCCGTCACCGCCTCGGCTCCGCTTTGCTCGCCTCCTCCGCTCGCGAAGTCAGCGGCCGCCCGAAGCATCGCGCCCGGCTCTCTCGCCGCCGGCGAGGGCTTCTCCTCGCCCTCTCTCTCTCTCTCTGGGATTTGACTTCGGCGGTCGTGGAGGACGACGACGCGGCGGTGGGTCGCGGCGAGCTCCGTCAGGAGCGCGGCCAGCGGGGCCCGCGCGCCGCCGCAGTAGGCCTCGAAGAGCGGCTGCATGTGCGCCGGAACAGGGAGGACGGGGGGGGCGTGGTGGAGGTGGGGGGCTCGTGCGCGGGCACGTCGAGCGCGCGGACCCAGAGGCTCGCCGTGTCCTCCGCGGCCACCACTCGATTTGGAGGAGGCTCGCTGTGTCCTCCGTGCCCGACCCAAGCTCCCTGATTCGATTTGGAGGAGGGGCCTCCGCGCGCGAGAATGCCGCTCAGTAGGGTGGCGGCGGACGACGGCTCCGGCGCCGGCGTGGGCGCAGGGAGGCCGCGACTCTTCGCCGTGCCCAGGCTGCTGGTCGGGCTCGGGGCGCCCAAGTACGGCGCCGCGCCGCCGGACTGTGACCCGGCACCCGCGCTCGCCATGCTCAGGTGCCGTGCTCGGCAGTTCGTCCTCTTGGTCGTGCTTAGGTGTCGTGCTGGTGTGCTCGCCGTGCTCGGTAGTTCGTCCTTCCAGCGCAGTGAGCTCGCGCGGCGGGCCGGACGGCGTGGCCAGCGGGAAGAGCTCCCTCTGCTGCTATGCTCGCTGGGGTGCTTCACGCCCACCACCTGTTTGACAAAATTCTTCAAAGGGTATACTTACTGGTCTAGCGAAGAGGTACCAAACACATCATTTGCTAGATGATACGGACAACCGAAACTGGCTTGCTAGGGACCGGCTAAAGCTGTCCAGGTTTGAAAGCTAGCCAGGTTAGAAATAGATCAGAAAATCAAATAGGCCTATAATATCTTATTGAGACTTTTACCTACAAACCATTATAAAAGTTAATAATTTCTCTCTACCACAAATTTCGGCTGCCCCTCCTTAGTACCTCGCGTAAACTTTTCTGGTTCTGTATGTCACTTTCGTCAGTTTAGAGCGCGACGGCCGGTAACGGAGGGATAGAACGACCCTTTTGCCCCTGTGTCCAGCGTCAGAGTAGAATTTTCCACTCCTCCGGTGGGACGCGCTCGAGGCCTCCTCCTCCGCCAGCCGCAGCTCCCGGACGCGCCTGCGCCTGTGCCCGTGTCGGACGACGGCCGCCTGGCTTCCCGGCCAGCGGCGACCCGCCCACGCCGCCGCTGCCTGGGAGCTCCATCGCGGACGAGGACTTCATGATACTGCAGAGGCGCGCCCCGCTCGTTGAGGTCCCTCCTCCCGCCGTCCACCAGGCCCAGCCGACCGAGGGGGCCACCGCAGTCGTGCCCAAGAACGCGACCAAGCCCAAGAAGTCCCGCAAGCACGAGCGGGAGGAAGGCGCCGATGCCGATGTCGATGCCAGCCCCGACGCAGTGGACACCGTCGGCGAGCCCAAGAAGAGGAAGAAAAAGAAGAAGCTTTCTGACCTGGACGGCGCCGGCAAGGCCGCCGCAGTGGTTCAGGACCCCAACGGGCTTGACCTGACGCAGGTACTATCAGACATCCGGAACCGCCCGCTGGCTCCCTTCCATGGCGCCGACCGCCGCATCTCTGACACCGCTCGCTCCTTCGTCCTTGCGTTCCGCTCAAAATACTACAAGAAGAGCTACGAGAACGACCCACCGGAGGAATCGAAGAAGATGAGCCTGGATAAGCCCACTGCCGCCGCGGCCGCTGACGGCTAGTCGCCCAAGAAGAAGAAGCCGGCTGCACTGAGGCCTGGCGCAGGCAATAATGACCCCACCAAAGCCGGCGTGAAGCGCGGGCCATTGGACCGCCAGGGGGAGCTGACCGTGAAGAAGAAAGCCAAGCTCGAGAAGATCAAGACACTGCCTAGTGAGAAGAAGGCCGCCGGTCTGGAGCAGAAAGACACAGCGGCGGCGCAGCAGCAGGCAGCACGGGCTGCAGGCGGCAAGGACAGCAAGGCCGAGATGGGTGGTGGTGCGGCGGCCAAGAAGAAGGAGCCGGCGCCGGCACCCAGGGTCCGTACCCCGTCGCCGACGGCGCTGATGATGAAGTTCCCGCTGAAGAGCACGCTGCCGTCGGTGGCGTCGCTCAAGGCACGGTTCGCGCGGTTCGGCCCGCTGGACGTGGACGGCTTCCGCGTGTACTGGAAGTCCCACATGTGCCGCGTCATCTACAGGTTCAAGGCCGACGCGGAGGCCGCACTCAGGTACGCCGAGGCCAACGCCATGTTCGGGCAGGTGGACACGCAGTACCACCTCCGCGAGGTCGAGTCAAGGGCCGGCCGCGACCCGCCACTGGCGGCGCCGGAGGCGCCGGAAGCGCCGCCCCCGCAGCAGCCGCAGCGCTCCGAGCTGCGGCTCATGGAGACGGCATCGTTCAGGCCCGGAAGCTCCGGGAACGACGCCCCGCTGCCCATGTCCAGGGCCGCCGGGGCCGTGCCGGCGCATCCGGCCGTGGGGCAGCAGGAGCAGCCCAAGTCGATCCTAAAGAAGAGCACCGATGAAGGAAACTCTGGGACCACAAGGGAGGTCTCCCGTGTGAAGTTCATGCTCTAGGACGGCGGCAAGCTCGAGCCGCCCGCGCCGCCGGCGAGCGTTGGCAGCAATGGCGCGGACAGTGGCGTCAAGGCTGCCAAATCTGTGGGGTTTGCTTCTTCCCAGCCTCTGCAGCCGCCCATGCGCCCAGCGCTGCAGCAGCAGCAGCAGGCTCCACGCGCCGCCGTCACGCAGCAGCTCCCGCCCTCGCCGCCTCTGTCGCTGCAGCAACATCTCCCGTACCACCAGCCTCGCGTCGCCGACGGGCATCCACTGGTGTCTCCCCAAGGTCAGCTGCTGGCATACCCGCCACCTCGCGTGCACGGCGAGGGCCCCTGCGCGCTCCCTGGGCAACCGTTGCCGCCGCTGCCATACCAGCCTCGCCCCACCGGCTTCCCTGGTGGACAGCAGCAGCAGCAGGTGGGGTACCCGCCTCGCTCCGGTGACAGCCCGCTGCTCCTCGCCGGACAGCAGCAGCAGCAGCTCCCACCTCGCCCCAGCAATGCGAACGCCGCCGAGGAGGTCCCGGCGTGGAAGAGGGGGGAGAAGGAGTTCAAGGAGGAGGTGTGGAGGCTGATGACGGGCAAGTGGAAAATTCTGCCCCTGACGCCTGGACACAGGGGGGCAAAAGGGTCGTTCTATCCTTCCGTTACCGGCTGTCATGCTCTAAACTGACAGAAGTGGTACACACGACTAGAAAAAGTTTGTGCGAGGGACTGAGGAGGAGCAGCCAAAATTTTTGTGGTAGAGAAGGAATTAGAAACTTTTATAATGGCTCGTAGGTAAAAGTATCTTATTCCTGTTGCCACGGCAAACATTGCATGTGCGGTGGCCGTTCGTTCCAGCTCGGCGAGACCATCAGACACGTCACGGAAGCTTTCGCAAAGGCAAAAAAGGAAACAGAAACCCTTGTCCTCACCGGCGTCACGTCGGCGACCGACACGACTCGGGAAAGAGACGACAACGGGGACGGAATAATCTCCGTGCTCCCCATTGGCTCATTGCGGGGGGCATCAGTCTGCTGAGATCGCGACAACCAGAGAGGCAATCAGTCACTCGGCGCAGTTTCAATCAGCCGCAATTTGATTCCTTGCAGGAACGATCTCCTGGGATCACGTAATAATTCGTGCAATTATTCCCTTGGTTGTAACGTTCAAACCACGGATCACAACACGTGAGGACAAGGAGACGCAAAGATGCAGCAATTTTACTGGAGTAATTAGCATGAATTACTGTTATAATATGCTTGGACTAAGAAAAATGCTGGCAAATTTATTACTCTTACGGCTGTTGATACTACAGTACTAGTATTCTGTGTTTTTTCCCCTCAAACTAGGAATGGAACAGCAAGTAAACAAGGAACCGTTCTACGGTCTTGTGGAAACTTGAAACCGCATGCTGAGCTAGTTCTTCATCTTCTTGTCGTTCCTACCTCTTTTCCTCTGCTCCTTCCTCTCTTCCGAGTAGTGCTTCTTCACCAGCATCTTATGCACTGAAACCTTCAGCGCAGCCAGCACTGAAGCTAATACCTCCTCTTGCTTTGTAACGTCAAGGCTTCCTTGCAGTGCCAAAAGGAGCTTCTCACCGTGTGGTACATCACCGTCTTCAAGGGTTGCAGGACCGGCATCAGAAGAAGATAATCTATCCTTTTGGAAACAGGGTATGATCCTTAAACGGGTTAATAAATGGGAGGAAGCCTGGTTGGGCATGTTTGCTGCGCCCATGACAGTCCATAGGAGCTCTGAGGACAAGCTGGATGCTAAGCTAGTAGGAATATAGCTCTTTTCCATCACAATCACCTGCAATTAGATAATGTGTATCGACTCATCAGCAGGGGTAGAGTAAATGTTGTTGAACAACTGAGGCATGAAAGACATACCACGATTGAGCCCCACAAATATTCAAATGTTCATCTCAGTTTTATGATTAGTTATCATATTAAGTAAGACAGGCTACTAGCTAGTAAGACTTATGTATTTGCATACCAGACAAGTTGTTATAATGGTATAAACAGCATAAGCTACATGATAGGCTTCTTGGTTAGTAAACCAATTCAATAAAACCAGGTTAAACCTAGCATGGAAAAACTTTCTGGTCCTAGAAAGTACTGGCCATCAGCACTGACCCCAAAAAAATAAATTAATGGTAACACTTAGGTGTGCAAGTTATCTCAGGCCACCAAATTGTCTACGAAATAGGCATACCTTTAGGAAAGATAACTTCTTTCCTACTAGATCACATGCTAAAAGCATTACACCACTGAAATTGCAGAGTGAAAAAAGACCATGTTAGAACACAATAAATACTATCACTTTCTTGGAGATATATTGCCCCACAAATCAAGCTTACCTTTGAATAGCTACAGCAACCAATGAGCCATCATTACTCGGACATATATCTGCAATGGCTAGACTGCTATCATCTGTTTCATTTGGTCCTAAGAGTTCTCCCATCTGCAAGTAGTTCTAAGAACTGTAATATATACCAAAATAATTTGGAAAATGTTGAAAACTGAGACAGAAAAATTGTATATTAGTCTTTTAACAAAAGATGCAAAGAGATATCTTCAAGACGCTACATTGCTACCTTATCTCTGACTTGAAATGTATCAAGGAGACATCCATTTACATAGTCCCACAGGCGAACCTTAATAGATGAAACAATGTTAGGAGAAGATTCTAGAGAAAAAGGTACATGTCAATACACTTAAAAGACTATGTACCCACAGTTGAATCACCTCCTCCTGATATAAGAAAGCTCTGGTTTTCAGATATGCTAGTGAAGGTGATGCATGACACAAAGCTGCAAGAAGAGTCACGACCAATTATCAATCATAGAATAAGCTCTGAAACTCCTATGATCAGAACATAACCAATAAACCCAAATTGTTATATATATTAAAAGAACCTAAAAACAGAATAAAAACTACAAACAATGGCATTGCACACCAAACTTACTCTGTATGCCCAAGGCAAAAGCTCTGTATTTCATGGGCCCCTTTTAGAGGATTCTTTGGGAATAATGTGACCTACAAAATTAATTGTAACACAACAAGAGAATAATCCAAATTTATGCTCCATTGATACAGCCGCCAATCAGTGCAAAGAACAGAAGACATACTCGTATTTTGAAGTCCCTGTCAGCAGTAGCAATGAACCGTCCATCTGGTGAAAACTTCTGCAATCCCAAGCAAATGATAAAGCATGGTTATACATGACATGAAAGGAGCAACAAATAAAACTGAAGTGTAGCAGACTTTTTGGGTTTGCCAATAGATTACACATTCACTACTAAATAAATGTAGGACGTACAAACCCATAGCACAGGTAATATAGAATTTAGAAATTGTTCATACCATGCTAGTGATGATACTGCAATAGTGACCAAGAATTGACACAGGTTTGTTATCAACTGAAACCGGCTCTGCACTATCTTCCCGCAAAGTGACTAACCAAACAACACCAAATTTATCAGCAAAAGTTACATACAGGTCATCGTTGCTAATAGCAACTGCACTGACCCTCTTCTCTGAAGCTCTGCAATTGAAAACATTGCAACAAATTCTTAATCAAATTACATTCTCAAAAGTGTGAAATTCATGGACAGAACTATATAATGAATATGTCTTTTCAGTTAAATAACATCAATTGCAAAAACAGAATTATTGCAATGGAACAGAGTCCAAGAATACAGATACTGCAAACTTAAAGCCCATTGTTTTGGTGCCAATTTTGTTATTCGCAATGAGAGCAAATGAGCAGAGTGTGGCTTACATAGTCCAGATGCAACGCCACGAATCAGTCTTCCAAACCTTCACAAGTTTGTCGTCACCAGCGGATGCAAACAAAGCTCCACTCACACTGAAACAAATAGCTCTTATAGCGTCTGAATGAGAACGGCCACCACAATCATCTGACAATGAAACTGGCAGACCAGCCCTGGAGGAACAGAGCCAGAGTAAATATTTACTTGCACATTCCACCAAGTGAGATGCAGAGAAAAGGCGCTCCACTTCTCACTGGAACATGTGAATTCAGGATTCAGCAATATAAAGCTAAGCACACAGGACAGTAACAATTTACACAACCTGACTCACAAGAATTCCAAATTGTTTTCTTAAAGGAAAATTTTCCATTCCTCTCCACACGAAACTAAATTATAAGAGAATATACAACTAACGATAAGCAGATAGATTCAGTTCACTACAGCCTCCGTCAAAATCTACCAATTGTGTGATCAAACACGGGCACTTTCTGCATAAGATGTCCATGTTTAATTAGGAGGCGGCGATGGAAGGGAAGAGGGTATTCTAATTTCGAAACCTGAGATCGAACGCGCGGAGCTCGGGCCCAATGGCGACGGCGACGGAGTTGCCGTGTGGGTGGGCGGCGACGAGCGCCGGCGCGAACTCCGCGGCACCGCTCACCTCGGGCTCTTCGACCGCTGTGTCCTCCATTGCAGGCTTGCAGCGGGAGGCGGGAGCAGCGGCCGCAAGATAGGGAGCTCGGATTCGAATCGAGCGCGAGACGGAGGAGGCGGGGAGGGATTCAGGGATTAGGGTTTACAGGCAGTTCGCACGTGGGGCCCAGATAACAGTGTCACGAAGAAGAGCCCGGATAGCTTGCGGGCTTGCAGCCCAAACGGCAAAGGCCTTTGGTTTGTTGGTCTTGGGCCTCCACGAACACTATCTCTGTCAGACTGCCCAATCTCACGGAAGGCCGAGATGAACGCAGCACCTTGATGAACGCCTCAGATTCGCCACCCAACGGCCACACCTATATATAGTATCCCACCCTCCGCTCTCGTCTTCCTCCCCGCCGCCACCACGCGCTCGCCTTTGCTCTCTCTGTCTCCCTTCCTCCATAGCAGGCGCAGGCCAGGAAAGCCCAAGGCGACCGCATCTCCAAGATGGTACGCTCCCTGATTCAATCCGCTTATTCATTTCGGTTTTGTTGGTTGCCCTTCGATCTAATGATATTACGCATGCTTTCTTGGAAATCGGAGCAGGTGCTGCAGAACGACATCGACTTGCTCAACCCGCCGGCAGAGCTTGAGAAGCTAAAGCACAAGAAGAAGCGCCTCGTCCAGTCCCCCAACTCCTTCTTCATGGTATACCTGTTCATGCCCTTTTCTAATTTTGCTTTTCTAATCCCGCGTTTCTAATTCTGCGTGATGGTTCTATCAAAAAAAATTCTGCGTGATGGTGTATTGCGACTCATGCCCTAAAGAGACCCATCGAATGCATCATTTGGATCTAGTTTTGGAAGAAAAAAAAACCTAAACCAAATAGGTTGATTTGGTTAGGAAGAGAGTACCAGAAATTGGATTTAGTATCAATAACTACATAAAAAATTACTTCCAACAAAGAAACAAGTCAGCTTAACTGCTCTTGTTTGCCATGTAACATACATGAAGTTGAGCTAGATGCTACAGGATATACATAATTCATCAAATAAGTTAAATAGAGCTAAAATGTGAAAACAGAAATGAAAATGAATTTTAAAGTTATATCTATCAACTTATATTATTAATATTAATTATATTATTAATATTAATATATTAGTCGTCTGTTCATGTGCCTGATTGGTGACTGACTCTAATCATGTTTTTTTCGCTTTTCTTCTCCCTTGTGTGCAGGATGTCAAGTGCCAGGGCTGTTTCAGCATGTAAGTGTT